GGTTGGTATTTTCATGAATCTGCAAAGCGGTATTATTAGTGTGTATTGTGTAATATTTGTCTAAATGAAGAATTATGAAGAGTATTATTCTATATAAGAAAGATTCAAATCCATTTTAACGTTTCAATTTTTGATACAGATTTCCAAACTTTAAAGGTTTTGATAAAAATCAGCTTCATATCTTAACTTGATTTTTTTCCTTTTCACATCTATGTGAAAATCTGGAAGTGACTATAAAAAAGAGTCAAATTACATGAAAAAATGCTCCTTTTCAAGACTTAAAGCAATTCAGCCATGACTACTGCAATGACATGCACTATAGCTGACCAATCTTTCTTTTCTTTTATTAAACACTGTCATTCAAACTTTTTAATTACTTATATTAAAACTGCAGAGGAGCTTTGGGTGCTAACAACCACAATGGAAGCATGATTTGGGAGAATGCATGAGTAAAGAAAATATTGATTTTGTCAAAATTTGTAGAACTATAAATGAAGAGAAAGGTAAAATATGCAGGTATGATATATCATGTAATAAATAGGCCAGAAATCAAATGTGTGCCCAAAATGTGGCATACTAAAAATTACCGATCAACCTTTAAATTTGATATTCAAATATGTAATATGTAATATCAAAAATATGATGTATTGTGCCTAAGTGGAAAATCTTTATTTCCAGCTGAAAATTTGATTCTCAACTAAGGGGAGTGGAAGAGCTTGTTCCTTTGTCCCTGGCTTGCCCTCACTAGGCATTCAGCATCTAGTCATCCAACCTCTCTGGGTCCAAGTTTCCCAATTTGGAAAAAAAAAAAAGCATCCCTGTCAAATTTAAAGTTTTCTCTGGGGCACAAATAATATAGAGTATACTAAAATCCTTTAAATAATAAACCTACATGTAAATATTAGACCTTGTTTTTATTAAATCCATGGCTATACCTCCTTCTACGTTTCTGAACTTTTCCAAATATTGCTTTTTATGGAGACATTTCACATGTATTTATACCTTTGTATTCAAGATAATGAATGGCAATGCTAATCCATTCTTTTCAAATGTTTAAAAGCTTCAATTAGGAAAATGTCTTAAATCTCAGTCTGCTTAGATATGAAAAGTGCAAAAAGCACAATCTATTGATGCTGTGAATCCTGAAGAAAATATTAATATCATAAAACATACATTCGTTCATGCATAATAAATTTACCCTCTCTGCAAAGCTAACCTTAGATAAAACACTGTAAACGTCTGCAGTTCTCCATGCTACCATTTAATTTGGTGGTGAAATCTCAAATGCAACATATCCACGTCTCCACGATCTTTTGCTTAAAATATCTTTGTATTAGTCTATACTTACTTCAGTTGTTCAAAAACAGACACATGAGGAAACAGGTCAAATAATCAAAAAGCACTTCAGCAAGCTCTGGACTTAGATTGTTAAATGACATCATTACAGATGCGCCTGCTTTGTCTTTCTCTGACGTCCATTCCTTTGGAATAGGACATGGCCAACAGAAGCTTAGTGGGAGGCGAGCCTCCATCCCTGCAGTTTCCAGTTGTTTTCCTCTCACACGCCCTGCCCTGGGGATCCCAGACGGTGCTAAGTGTCTTGATGCCGCTCTCACACCACACCAAGCTCCTCTCTCCTCCCCAAACAACCTCACTCCTCTGGAGCACGTGGTTCCAGATTAATCCACCTGCTGTGAGTCTGTATTTTATGTTATCCCATAGTCTTCTACTATTCTCGTAAAAGTTTCCCTTTCACGCTTGAAACTCTGCAATGGGTTTCCTTCCGGTGCACTTACAATGAGGTCTGCAGCTTGATCACCACCCACAGGCCCTCCTTTCTCTGGCCTCAACTTCTCCCTCCACAGCATTACTTCCAAAATGGATTTTACAAATAAGCTCATCAAGTCTTTTTGTGTGAGACATGGAGAGAAGGAATAAAAAAGACGAGTCCTAGCGAAGTTACCCATACAGAGCAAAATTTCAGCAAGAGTAGAACCAGACTCTGGGTCTCAAGCCCCAGGTCCACGTTCTGTCTTTATGCCTGGCTTCACCTGTTCCCTACTATACCCTCTACCCTTTCTGTCTTCCTATGCGGTTGAGCTCTAACTGTCTGTAGAGTCTGCCTGATTGCATAGCCTTCATAGAACTCCAAATATAAGTGAAATTACTGGTTACATCATGCATTTCCGTTGTTCCTTTTAATGCTGCCTTTTGCAATATCTTTTCATATTTTATTTTAGGCCTCATAAGAT